AAATTATTTGAAATTTTTCTATGCAATCAGCCAAATCAGAAAAACAAAATCTGTAATACACCGTGGCCACTTAAATAAGTAGTATGTCGAAAATGCGAAATATCTCTAGAAAGAGGTAAAGCTAGCTCGTTAATCGTTAAATTAAAAAGTTGTGTTAATATGTGATATAAAGAGACTGGAAGAATTTCTGATCTGATTTGGGAAAAATGAGGGAACTAAAATCTTAAATGACATGGCACTTAGAAAATTTTCGTAACTGACATTTTTCTTTATAGAATGCTTTGTGTCCTGCGTTGTTGATTTTAAGTCGGTTTAAAAAAACAGCGATTAAGGCTGACATTGAAAGGGTGGACTTCAGCTTTCTATTTTTTGGTAAGCAGGCTAAAAATTCCTCGTCTCTGCAATTCCGAAGTAAATCACTGTCCACAATCTGGCATCCTTTAACAACCAGACAGAACCATGATGCCATTTTCGCTGATAACAAAGGCTTGTGTCTCTAGCAGTAGGCATAACATCCCTACCCAACACCGTTTCTGTCTACCCGTCTCACTTTATTTCCCAACTCTAGCACACACGAAATGCTGATGCTAAAGTGAGGGGATGCGCATCACTCGGAGGTGAAGTCGGAACGAGCGGATTGTGTAGGCTGTGGTGGTGTGGTGCGGTAAGGTGGCGTTGGGCTCAGTATAGTGACGTGTATTATAAGATATCAGTTAGAAGTTACGAGGTTTTGCGTTTTATTGGGTTCTCTTACCGTGTCTTGTCTTGCCCTGTCTAGATCAGCACTTTTTTCTCACCACTTCCATAAGCATGTCCATTTCTGAGCTTTCATACCCTGCCCCTTCCACCTAACGTGTGTGCAAACCAATCGCTTCATCACTCACTTTCAGCATTCACATCTCCATCCCTTCCTACCATTTACGATTGCGATATGTGGTTTGTCCGAGACTGCGTAGCTTGTCCTCGTTCTCGTGACCGAGGTTAGATGGTCTTAGTGAGGCATCTTTAGGCAGCTCATCACATGTATCACATTTTTCAAACCACTTTTTAGCTATGCCTTCTGTAACTGCTCCCCCTTTAAGTGCTTTACAGCTTTGAAAGTCCGCTTCCTCAGTTTCTAAGCCCTGTCTAAAATCGCCGAGCAGATAATCGGCATTTTATGATGGGCTTGTCCAAATTGTGGGAATAATCCAGAAAGCGAAATAGACTGACGCGTATCTCTCCTGTATAGTGCATGTAAACACTCACAACTATTCACCTAGTCCCCAAAAAGTTATGACAAGTCGTCTACACAAAGTCCACGAAAAACTGATGGAGCCATTTGATTAATCCCCTGGTTTTGTCTTTGCCTTACTCCAATGTACAAAATCTTTAGTTATGAAAAATTAAAATGTATTGTGGTTCTTCTGTTTAACAGGTGTCCAGTTTAACAAAACCTCATGAGATGCCACCAATTTCCTTGATCTTCTAGTGCCACAGGTGATTGAACGACATGCAATTGCTTATTGCATTGAATTTACAAAAGAAATGATTTACTTAAACGCACAAATTTGTAACATGAAGTGTTTTATAAAGTATGCTTTCCTGACCTTAATACCTTTTCATCATGTGTGCTTCAGTAGAAGCAGGGTTAATCTTTCCAACCAATAAATCCTTTCACCTGTTTAATTTCTTACTTAAAAGTCCCCTACCTCGTTCTGAGCTACATATTTCTTTTTTTGGCAAGGTAGCATACTTCAGCTTGATTTAAAAATACATTTCTTGGAAAGGATTATAGCCCAGTACAGAGTATGCTGTCCAGTTTGCAGCGTTAATTTTTGCGCTGTTCTTTACACTGCCATATCTACTGTTTGGATGTATGTGACGTCACAGCTAGCTCAGATACCTTGCTTTTGGAACCGTAATTCACAACATTTCCAAAGCGACGAGAGTCTTCATTACCCCTTTCCATGTAATCGAGTTGGACACCTACTTCGTTTGTAGCAGTATCGTGAGTCATCCATAGTCTGGGGTGTGCCAAATGCCTGTCCGGAAGAAAGACACGTCTAAACCGCATCTTTTCCCGTTTATGCAATCTGCTCAATCAGTCTGCTTTTATGGGTCCAAGCAGTTGATGTGGTGGGGAAATATGCACCACAGTTCTAAATAAACCTCTTAGCATGGCAAATTCACCTTAATTACATACTTTTTTACACGGATCGTTCAAGACTCTCGTGATCCGGGCTCTCGTCATACCACCTACACCCATAATACATCTTTCAATCAAGCTACTCGCAGATATCTACGGGTTACCAACATCGACTTGTGTGATGCAAAAGAGACAAAAGTTGGCCTAACGCACCAGTAATGGGTGCCTCGAGTTCAATAAGGTTGTTCTCGCTCTTGAAAATCGCCGCAGTCTCCTCGATGATCTTCAGGGCCGCCTTCTCTGTTAAACGTCCCTCGCCGAAAAGGTGACTCCGTAGAATCTCCAACTGTGGAGGCTCGTCGAGTCGGGGGAAGATATCATCTATTGTCAGCAATTGCGTCGGTGGCGGCGGGGTACCTGTGATCACCAAAATGGGACGCTTTTTAATACGTATTGCGCAAATCCCTAGCCTCCCATTTTATGATGGACACTTTAAAGCCTGGTTTGAATCGGTGCCTTCGAAGGTTAAAAGTCTTTGAAGAGGGCCGACAAAGGCGGCCTTCTTTTTAGGTCTAAATGGACCGTGTATTGAGGTAATTGATGTGTAAAAAGGGCGCTGAAATGATGAAAGCAAATACTAGAAGATGCGACAATTGCCGGTTACGTATCACCATGACAAAGACACTAGGTTCTTCGACTAATTACGGTTATAAATTATAAATTTAAATTTTGATAGGGATTGACAAGTTTTGGTTTGAATTCTCCAAGACAATGATACCAGGACAGAGCTTTTTTACAAGCCGTGTATGACCCCTGATCCCCAGGTAACCTAAAGGATCCCTCATTGCTTTTAACTTAAGACCGATTAAGCTGACTTTATGTACAACCCTCCAGAATTATTACGGCATTAAAAGTCGGATTTTTTAACAAAGATATAGTTAGTGCAATGACATTTTTGCAGGTATCATTCCATCCCTCAATCGGTTAAGTGATCGTCGACATATTGAAAATATTGTTGCACTGAAAAATTACGGGAAGTCTTCACAAAAAATTATTATGAACCATCCCTCACTCAACGATTTTTAATGTCAGGCGATAAAGCACATCACACGTAACACTTGGCAGAATCCTTGACCTTGTTCAATCCTTAACTTATTTGGGTCAGCAGTTTGATGCAGAAGTACAAAGTGCGGTGAATTTGGATATTTCATGTAGTGCTTCAAAGGAATTCTTTTTTATTTCGTATTAATTACTCTTTGGCATACTAACCCTATTATTAAGTTATTAGGTAATAGCCTTCAAGAATTGACCAATCACATGCCAGTGGACCTATACTACTTAATTAATCGAAAAGTAGACATAGGATCTATAACCGTGTAATTATTCGGCTTACTCATTAGATTGGGAGGTTTCGGGCATAATCAGCTGCTGTTTTTTCAGGCCTCATATGAGGAAAATAGAACCGCGGAAGACTCCCTCAAATATTTTCTACGTTGAAGTATTCGCCTTTACATCGAGACAAACTTGATGCCAATTCTACCGGCCATAAGAGCCCTTGTCTCTAGTAACAGACAACCTATCTCTAGCCATACTGCTTCTGCTTACCCATCTTACTTCTATTTCCCAACCATCAATTCTATTTTGCATGTGATTAAGCTAATGTTCAATCCTAATCCCAAGGAGAGGTGATAGCTACTACTTGGAGAAATTCTATCAAAAGAATGCGGAAGATAAGGATGAGGAAGTGCCTCAGACAGACATTCTCTGGGATCTAGTCGGGTCAGCCGAGACGAGGTGGTGTAAAGTAAGGTCAGTTTAGTGCGCAGCATGGGGTCTTTCTTCCCACTAATCAACTAATCATGGCTGTTTCCAAAGCTTTAAAATCCTATTTAAGTTCCTAAAGCCAGTAGGACTGACCTGTTGTGCATGTGTCCAAGCGACTACACGCATTTCACAAGTCTCCGCAGCTACTGCAGTATGACATGTCAAAAATCGTACAAAAAAGTTTAATCTCCTCATGGAACGCACAACTTCTTTGCCTTATTTGTTGACAAATTTGAAAGACCAAGATGATCAAAAGGCTGCGGGAATTGCTAAATTAAACGCTTCCATTAAAACTTCTACTTCCTTCCTTCTATAACCATGGATCAAGAATTCTGCGTGATGAGGCAGTATTAAGAATGATTAAGTAAGTGTAATTATTGTGAATATTCTGGCATTCCGATATTTTGTGCTTGGTCTTCAGGTATAAAATAACCATCCCAGCTTTGTGTTTTCTTCCTCAGATCGAGCGCCTGACCCCATTTCTAGCTTCTTCGCCTATCTGCTTCTTCAAAGTAGAACTAGAGTCTTTAATAATTATAGCGGGCAACTTGTTATTTCTCTTGTTGTTTAAAGTAACTTTTCGTTCCTTAACACACGGGGATGTGCAAATTACAAGGCCGGCTGAAAGGTCAACTCGTGATCCTTGTTTCTCATTTGAGGCGGGCTTGGAACGGGTAAACAAAATGGAACCTCTTTTACTACAAAGAAAATAAATCGAGGAAATAAACACCTCTCTTTGAGTTCTTGATTGAAAGGAAGATAGTTTTGTGGTTAAAACAGATCTCACGCTCCTTATTTCCCTAGTCTAACAAATGAATAGACCCTATTATAAAATTGAAATGATTTTAGTGTGCTTTTGAAGGAACAAAACGCAAACGATCATCTTTTCTGCATTTTTTAATAGCTGAATAATAGAATAGTCCGTAGTGCGCTTGTTTGAATGTGCCGGTTGGTAAGTATGAACCTCGTGACGGACTGGACGCCATCGGTCCCCGAGGAGGAAACCGTGATACCTCTGTACCTCTTTATTTGTGGCCACTCAATCAAGCATTTCCTCATCCACTCGTTCTAAGAGCAAAGAGGTGGAAGGGAGAAACACCGAGCCTATTACAATTCATTCCAAGTCGCTACACTTTACTCCATCTGAAAGGCCATTTTTGACGTGATTTAGGGACAGTAAAGTGGGAGTTTGTTCTCTCATTTTATCCAGTATTTTTCAGCCAAGTGGCCGCTTGTAGAGTAGCAAAACAAGGTAAGCCATCCACAATGCTTTGTTTATTACAACCGTTAATAACATTACAAATTGTCAAAGAGAGTATTGGGGCTTTAAGAAACGCCACATTAGCAATCGTCACAGCCACCTGTAAGCATTTCAAAGCATGTAATGCTAAGTAGAGATTGAAGATTCTAAAATCCTAATAATTCCCCTATCTTCTCCTAGTTATGATGCTTTAAAAATATCTGTCCTGTTTAAGTCCACAATAATAAAGGCATTAACAGCTCTGAGACAAGGGCAATTTTTCGGGAAAAGCCATGAGTACCCATAGTCTCGCGGGTACAATGACTTCAAAGGCCGCATTGATACAGTCGCGCCACGCGTCATCATGACAGAAAAATGGGGGAACGGAATGCCCTTTATCTGAGAATTCGACAGATTCGACCATTCACTAAGGCTGAGGATAACATTACTGCCTTTTTTCGGCGGAGAGGGGGGGGGAAAGGGAAGGCTTGATATGAACCAGCGGTGATAATCTGCTATATTCTCCCATCGAAGTGCCTGTTGGACAAGCAGAATTCTTACTCTCTTAACAGGCAATCGAGGATAGTAGTTAAACTTCAAATTATCTTTTGCACTCAAGTAAGCAAAAAAAACAGGGTCTATTTATGCCCCTCGGTAGTAAAGTAGCTCAATATAAGCACTGACGCTGGCATTACTCTAGCTTAATCAAATTCTCCCTCCGCGTCGTACACTACCAACGTGACAGGAGCGCTCTCATTCCTCTGTTTAAATCACAGCCAGACGTTGGTCTTATTAGGCTTAAGTGTCAGGGTAGCACTTTGTTTGCTACAAAAAATATCCAACAGTGACCATCCATTCAGGTCAAAGTTCAAGAGTTGCACAAGTGACGGACGCTCCATTAGGCCCTAATTAGTCTCTGTTACTTTTGTACAGACAATGGGGGAGCCACTGAAATAGACCACATTTTCTCCCATAGTTAATACCTCATTCATCGGCTTATGGGCTCAATTGAAGCGTAGGCAGCAATTCCGCCCTCTTAAATGCTTGTACTCTTAACAAAACACCAAAGCCCATTCATTTTTTAGGTAAGTGGGGTGTTATACTCACAATATATCATTTACCCTTTGAATGGGGCAGTAGTCGATGGGGGGTAAGTCTTTATGGTCCCAAGTGTCCAAATAACAGTAATAACAGCTCATTGATAATAATGGTCAACATCCGGTCACATCGGCAAGTTAGTTGCTGCTTACTCTTGACATTGTTTTTCAGCCAGTGGCAGCACTGTCATGTGATCGTTGCCGATTTTGTGTAAGCCTAATACATGACTTTTCTTTGATAGCCACCTCATACGCATGGCATTGCCTCTGATGAAGCTGCAGGCCACACGAGTTCTCTTAAAGAGATCTTGTGACCTGCAGGCTCTATCTCCCACTAATACACTTGGTAGGTCATTCTCGCAAGAAAAAATTAAACAATCTTTTCATGTCGCCTTCTATAGAGTAGCGTCTCCGCCCTCGCCTCCCGCGGTATCGCTACACTATTTACCCTTGATTAGCCGGATTCAATTGATCGTACGAATAAAGCAAAAAATGCGTTTTAGCGAGTTGGAGAAAAAGTATACCGGCTGACGGTTTGAGGAGGGGGATGTTTCCCATTATTATAGGCTATTTGTTCCAGGAAATGAGCCTTAATTTGCGTGTATCGAATTCTAACATCGTTTATATTGACAGGCTTTGACACTATTTTCGTGGAGACAGTATTACAACCCTCAAAAGTGAGGGAAAATTCAAAATAACTAGAGAGACGATGAGACGTCAAACCACCTTATGATTGTTGGAGGCGAAGTTGTTCGGTTTGAAGTCTGACCCTCCTCCTTACCAATTTCATTTATCAAAGACGTTTGAATCATGAGTGGATAAGTTTTGATTCAATCTAACCAAAACAGGGGAACTGAATGGCATGTTTTGAGATAAAGAGTTTTAAAATTAACCAATTTCTAACTACGAATGATAGCAGCCACAAAAATTGGGTGAAGTGATTGGGGAGATGGCTGATGATTGGACTGCCATGGGGATTGACCGCTCGAGTTAGGCCTAGAAAATATTCCATTCAACAAACGGACTGTCGACCTCCAATTCAAAAGGAGACATCTCATGTTCACTGTTTTAAGCAATGAAATGACAATTCGTATTTAATTAACAGTAATTGCTTGCTTCTTCCTCCTTCCAGAAATGTGCTAATTTCGTCAAAAAGTAGTCGTAAAACATTTACCTTACACGTTGGAGACTTTTTAACCCACCTTCCAGTTTACATTCTTGGAGAAGCGCATGGAGATCTCACGTCGTACAACCGAATATCCCGAGTCGCAGCCTTGGAAAATTGTAGGGCTTCGAACATGGCACAGATATCACTTTAGGCAGCAGTCAAGGCAAATTGGAAGTTGAAGTACCCTTCCTCCTTATAAGATACCTCGGATTTGAAGGCAGAATAGAGAAGCTGGCTTCTGTTGATATCCAGCTAATTGAGATCTTGACGCTCTGGACCATCAGAAGCAATAGAGAAAGGGTTTGCATATCCTAGTGACACTCTAAGCCTTTCTATACTACCCTCACGATCCGTAGGTGTAGGTCCACTACATCCATAATTTGGTTTCCAAAGTTTTCGTCATCTAAACCTCTTTGAAAACTGCCGCTTATAGCTCCAATGGAGCACTCACTAACACACATGCCAACAGTACCATGTACCTCTTGACGTCTTTTGCGAAGGTTTCTAGGACCGACATGATTAAAAGCTGTTCAGAATGGGCATTCGTTCTATAATGCGGTGGCGGCTTCATCGGGTTGTACTTCAGTGTATATTTGTGTCTCAACCAAGTAATGTAAGAATATCTCGGCTTAGCCTGAACGCCAGTGTAGCTCCCCATATCAAAACGCATGTCTCATCCGGCTTTAAAAGCAATTACTAAATCAAGGCAGACAAGCAGTTTCAGAATTAACGTAAACTGTAAGTCCTGACCATTTGATTAGTTGACCTACTTATTTTGGTTCGCAAGGTGTCAATACTGTTCTCCCATCAGCGTCAGAGGAAAGGTGGTTTACTAGCCTCAGGTCAAAAAGCTCGTTGCATGCGCCGACAGCCGTAGAAACCATTTATATGCCATACTATTATGAAACGGGTGCATTGAATAACCAATTTCTTGATAAAAATAAGCAAATATAAGTCCGTAGCCGCAGTTTATGTGCCCAGGCAGCACCGGCTAGGGGAGGATTTGTTTTATTAATAGAAATAATCCACTACTTGATGAAAATAGCTCGCTTACTTAGCGCGATGGCATGTAAGGGGAGGGGCATATGTCCTCACACGGTTGACTTGGCTTCGTATCATTTAAGTTATTTAGATCGGAATAAGAAGAACTGACATCCTCGGTTTGGGTGACACGCGCCAATTTAAGTACGGACACCTTATTAAAACAACTTTGGCTCTAGATACTTTTGAATCACTATCAGTAAATGAGTTCGTCAACTTGTTCCTTTGGGTACGAATCTCCTCAAAAGACGTAGTCGATGCGACTGGAGGGATGGAGACTCACCACAGTACCCTTCATGGATTCAGTTTTGGCCCGCTATTTTCTGCATGAAGCAACTAAGGCCAGATGCTACAATGATCCACTTTCTGAGATCTAATCTTGCTTCTATTTCTTGTCTGGACACGTGTACACAGACGCCCAACAGCTTGCTGCATAATAGATGAGCGGGTAGGCGGACC